TTTAGTTGTTAATTTAAAAGAGAAATGTACACCTAATAATAAGTGTAAATGGCGTAACAAATATAATTGACATGAGATGTTAAGCCTGAAGACAACACCCTCTTATAATTTGTTATTCATTTAATTTAAAATATGGATGCAGGCACGTAATTAAGGGGGGTAAGAGCGATCACCCCTCCACAAAAATACCGTATGTAGTGACAGCGATTTTGATATACGGTATACACCACTTAATTGCATATTATTAAAACCCCAATCATGTGAGAAGGCTAATTCCCCCCCCTCAACAAAAAAAGCATCTATTTACCATAGACGCAATTTCAGATTTTTTCCTCGGAGACTTGAAAAATATATACCAAACAAACCTGTTGGGGGCTTTTTCCCCCCTTACACCCTTTTAACTAACTTTACTTTCATCATCATACAAAATATTTATGTTACAAAATATAACATTATTATATACATCTATAAGTGACTTCCATGCTGAATCTTTACCTCAATACCAATATTATCATTACCTTGATGTACTTGAAAAGTTCTGTCCGGTGCCGGAAATATTATTTTGAATTTATAGATTAAATTTGTATGCCAAACCTTTTCATTTAAATAGGAATTTAACCTAACATAGTTAAAGTTCTTTGAATAGTCTTTTTTTTTTTATAAAAAATTGGAAATTAAATTAACAAAATTAATCCGAAAACTTTTTCAGACCTAATTGTTTAATTGGGTTTAAAAATACATATTTTATTAAATTTTAAGATTTATAAGTTTTTGAACAACAACAACAAAAATCAAAGTCCAAATATCATTATTAAAAACGAGTTTACCGTAAATATAATTTCCCAGTGGCGAGTTTCATGAAAAATGTTTTCCAAAACACGTTTGATAGTGTAGTTGATGTAGTTGGGGCTAGGACCTAATTCATTAAAAATCTTGAAAGGCCTTGAAAATTAATGGGAATATAATAAACAGCTTTTTTTTTAAATGGAAAATCATGACCCAAATTATCACAATATATAATAATTAATTTATTATAATATATAAAAAGTAACTTTTCCCAAACTGTTATTGTCACAATATTGAATAAAACATAATTCTTCAAAAGATAAATTATCGGGGACTGATATTAAGTTATCAATAAAAAGTAATATGATTTCAACTTAAATTTTAACCTAATTTATTTTTTATTGAAATATCTACAAGTTATACATAATATGTTGCATAATGAGGAAATGAGATGAATGTAAATTTTTTTTTCTTTGAACTTCAATGTTTTTGATTGCAATGTATAATTAATTTTAAAATGTTATCTGTATTTCGTTTCATTTAGTTAACTAAACAAAAATATCTAGAGAAAAATTAAATCTAAAGTCGATATTGGTATTTTATACAAGTACGTTACTGATATACTCATGTGTTTTTATATATATATTGTAGTGTTTAACCCCCAACTGTATTCATAAGATAAAACTTCAATTAAATTTTTATAATTCTTATGATTTTTATTGAGATGTTTGATGATTAAAAAAATAAAAACTTAAATTACATAAAATAATTACTAACAGTGACGATAATAATAAATAAAATAAAATATCAAAATAAAATTTGAATTTTTTTTTGTTTTTATGTAGACCAAACTTCTGCAATTATTAAAATGTTTAAATTATCTAATACAACTTTCTCCTCATACAAACGCACATATACTTCGTATAATTATACAGTTGGGACATCGGATTATTTTGATCTATAAATAGAACAATAATTTTGCTGACTTACTTATGGATCAGTTACAGCTCACTATGTAATAAGTACAAATAACCGATTTTACCTTTGATAACTTAAATAAATATAAGACCATTCGAAATTAAGATATCTAGTGCTACCTTTCAAAAAAATTACAGCACCATGAAATAAATATAATTTACAAAATAAAAAAATATAGATATTAACTATATAATTTATTAAATTGTTATTCATTTGTTTTTAATTTATCTATTTTTGACCAAATTCGTCCTATTTACCAACTGTATTTTAAACAACTAATACCCCCCTACCAAGATGACCTTGAGTATAAATGAAATTTCCAAGAAATTGATGTGAATGTTTCAATTTTTGGACCACACCTTCTACCAAATAACATTATACGTTCACCAAAAAAAAACTAAATAAGTAAAACCATTCCACTATTAGGTGTTAAGAATCAAAGACACAATGAGTGTTGGTAAAAGAACAAATATCCCAAAATGAATTGTTTGGTTAATATTTCACCATTAGTCGTCACTATAAAATCAAGCGGTGTTAATGACTCACTGAAGTATTTAAAAGATGTTAATTAACATTCCACACATATATAAATAGCTTCCAACCGTTAACAAATTAAATTCAGTCAATGTAAATTTAATGGTGCACGTATACAGTGCGTACTATATTGTTTTAATAATTAACTGTCAATTTTGAGCGTGCAGTAACAGCACACACACCTGCACTGCACAAATGCACAAACCAATTAATAAAACAGGAAAAGTTCCAAATTATAAATTATTATTTATTTTGGTATATTTAGGATTATTAGGATTAACGAACAATAGCTGGTTGTTACTGTAAATAAACTTTTTTATGGACTTTTTTATGAATTAAAAAAATATATTCCGTGTTTATTAATAAATTATAACATTACAATCTAAAATCAAAACATATTATTTTCCAACGGCCATCACCCATCAGCGCACTAGTCACTTATCACTTTGGCTGTCGTTCTTCGTTATTGCCCGTTTATAATTTGAAATTCATCAATAAATAAAATTTTTTAAATTTAATCAATATTATAAAATATGAATTCAATCGACGACGATGAGAAAGCGCATTGCAATTCTTTTCGTTTTGTTTTTAATTAATATAAATTAGAGATGTACTGAAAACCCGGCAATTACTCGATAGCCGAGTACTTGATATCATGATTAAGACTAGGCTCTTTACTCGGTGTTAAACTGAATTTGTACTCATTCCCTACCTGGTACTTGGTGTAATATTGAAATGTTTACTCGGCCAATACTCGGAATCCGGTTAATAATCAATTGTTTGATTTGTCTGATTTTCAAGATTTATAGTATATACCACTTTATTGCACATTATTTAAGCTCTAATAATTTTAAAGAACATTAATCACCACCCCCCTCTAAAATAAGCATCTATTTAGGTGTCTATGACATTTACAGTTTCGGTAGTGTGCATAAAAATTTATGAAGTTTTTGAACCGAAGAACCTACTATTCATGTGTAATGTGGTCGACTTTCAAATGATATAATAATAAACTGTCAATACAATATATGCATAGTATATCTTAGGACACGAACAATGATTTTCGTTCATTATTAGTATTTTACAAAGATAAGAAGTGTCAAGGCCTTAGTTCTTTCTTGCCTGGAGACTCATTTTCTTATTTTTTTTTCTTCATATTACCATAGATTAAATACACTATTATTTAATTTACGTTTTAAGTCCGTTGGTCTCGTAAATTCGAAATAATCTTGTTTTGATCAATATCAGTTCGAGCAAAACCAACCCACAAACATTACAATACATAAATGCCACCAACTGGGGTTACACCACTGAACATGGGCGTCCCCAGACATTTTTCTAGGGGGGGGCAAAATTAATTTAAAAAATAAATGAAAATTTTTTTATACATTTTATTTATAGTAAATTATTATATTTCGTCATTATTAAAATTACGAATTAAAACATTGCAATTATGTAGGTATTATTATTACAGTTAAAACATTCAAAAATATTTCTGTGGAAATAACATTATTCTAGGGGGGGGGCAAGTGTCCCGTCTTGCCCCCCTTGGGGACGCCCATGCCGCTGAGCTGTTAGGCCGAATCGGATTGTATACGGTACGCGAACGAAGTCATTGAGCGATCGATAAATATTTTTACAATTTTCGCGCGTTGCGTTGAAATCTGTCGCCGACAGTGTACGGGTGTTTGGTAAATTTGCAAATGATCTAACTGCGGTGCGTAATCCGACGGTGGGTAATTATTCGGGGGAAAATCCACGCTCCAGAAGAGACATATTATATGTGTAACGTCTGGCCTGTGGCGAAACGTTAGCGTAACGGTGTTTTTTTTTTAAATCCCACCGGTTCTCACTCTTAGATGCTTACCTTTTCCCTCGCCAATTTCATTTGCGCGATTTCGCGGTAATTACGCGCGTATTATGACGCACGCGTCCGACGTTAATTCGTTTGTAATTCATTCCGTCGTGGGTTATTATATTCGTTTTTTTTTCTCGGAGTTGTTCCAGAAATAGCTGCGCGGGGCCGAGGACGCGCGGGTATCGGTTAACGAGAGGGGAGGGGACATGCATAACATGGTCAGCAGAAGACATCACGGGCCAGAGGGGTGCCGAAGATGACGCATAAGTGGTTGCGGTGAACGGGATGTATGAGGAGGAGGTTAATATCCCGACGATTGCGTTCCAGGGAAGTCCACTCGCGAGACGCCCGTCACCGGGACGCGTCGTGACCATCCTCCCTCTCTGCGGTCCGAGACCGCGATGAATGGGAGAAACACGACGCCGTCATGCACGAGTATCATTATCGTTACTTTAACGTCGATTGACCGGTGGGGGTGGGCAGGGGTGGCGGCTACCTGGCGTGTCGAGATTGACCGATCTCACCTGCGCCGCCGACAGTGTTATTACTATGATTACTGTTATCATTGAGCATTACACATACCGTACGGAGGTGTACCGTGGCATACCGCCGATAACGCGCGCACGTTTCCCGCCTCACCGGGCCGTCCGTCCATCCCCTCCGCGGCCCCGAAAGGCAAAAAAAAAAAAAAATTATAAAAATATCAGAGAAGTAGCACGGCGGCGGCAACCGGTTCCGTGACTGTGCAACGCACACGTACACGCATACACACACGCACGCACGCACGTACACAAGCGCACGCGAGCATGCCGTCTCCTACTCCTCCGCCGCATACACGTAGTGCCTTTCAGTCATGCACCGCTCACTGTACCGCCAGTGTATATAATATACTTCTCGGCGGCATTTATTTTATTCTCATCCGCGGTTGATAGTTATAAATACGTGATAAATAAGAAGACAACTCATTTTCCTCGACGCGCATTTTTCCGTTTCTATCCTCTCTCTCTCTCTCTCTCGTCTCAACTTCTTCTGCAGTGGACGCACGCGACGCAAAAACATTTTAATTTTTTATTTTTCCGTGACGAACACTACTGCACTGCTGCGCACACCCGGAGACGACGCCGCCGCCGCCGCATATCATTACCGTCGCGTTGCAACGCAGGTACGCCACTTGTCGCGCCCACGAAGATAAGAAAATACTTAAAACAAGAAACCGGCTCTGATAACTTTTTGCCGTACAGAACCTTCGCGGTCGTGTCCGTCGATGTTCGCAAAGGTCAGCAGCCGCTAATCCGGCTATCGTGTTCTGATCCCAGACAGTTTTCGATGGGATATTGCAATCCGTTCGTATCGATTCGGTTTGTCAATCGCAAGCTCCGTGCGAAACTTATACCGCTCAGATCTTAAGCCACTGCACATCTTACTGTCGCTACGTGCCCTACGTGCTGCTGCGTGAGTGATAGATCATTGTAAAAGGAAAAAAAATATCGAAATTTCTAGAGAGAGAGAGAGAAAAACAACCGTAAATCGACACGAGTGTTTTTCGTGATATTAATATATTTGTACAGCAAAAAACATCAAATAAACGCGAGTGTTTGTGTGTTTTTTGCAGACCACGATAAGAGTTTGTTTTTTACGCAACACCGCGAAACCAGTCTCCCAGCCAAATGGCTTGGATCAAACCGGAAGACGAATCCAGAATCAAAACGATGCAATATCCAAGCGTGAGTATATTACAGTACAATACATAAATATTAAGTATCATTTAATACGTTGCGCGCTCATAACGCTAACGTCCTGCAAGTCGGATGGTTACTAAACAGCAGTTTTTTGATAAACGTTAAAATGCAACAATCGGACGACGACGATTTGTACGGACTTGGCGCGCGGCCGCTTCACTGCCATGTGTTGGGTTTGGTTTCTTAAACGCTCGTAATCATCATACCCGTCGCTGATAATTGATCGTGCACGCAGGACACCCGATGTGGACATCGGTGACATATTGCCAACCTAAAATTACGCTGCATGATAATATCTTAGCACAATATTATTAAATATATTACCTTGCGCTAGATTTGTTCGCACCGCACAGCGTTCCGAGCGCACACTCGCACACCTCTCGGTAGACACTAATAACACAATAAATGTAAATAATTATAGCAATATACATTACGTATGGGTTTGGTATGTATGGTAAACATGACCGTATTTGCAATACGTATGTACTCGCGAAAACCGTGTGCGTATCAAAATACCCAAGGTTAAGGCGGCGTTAAAATTGTTGTCGCGCTCAACGCGTAAAGCGTCGCGGACTAGAAGATCCGAACGCTCTCGGTGCAGAATCACCAATTTTCCAGTCGACTTTCAGGAGACGACTGGCTCGGTCCGTTCGAGCCTCCTTACAAGCGAACGAGCGCGTGTGTGTGTGTAACAAGTAGGGGGAGAGAAGGATATAGACGGCGCTAGTTAATTGTCAAATTTATTTTATCTCAGAAAATCGACAAATGTGAAAGACCTCATAATCGACAAATTGGTACGCATAGATATATGTATACGCTAAAAATGTCTCTAATCAGTACGTTAATTACCGGCCTCTATAAGATGCTAATGGACAATTTTTATGTCAGTCGAAACCTTTTATATATTAGTCGCAGACGTGCTTGTTTTGTTCGTTCGGTTTTACATACATCTACACGCGTTTTATAACCATTATACACAGAGCCATCACGAATAATAATAATTATTTTACACGTTATTTTGTTTTATATTTTTTTTCTTACTTCCTATATAAATTATAAAATTATATATTCGATTATCTAGTTTTTTTTTTTTTTTTTTTTTTTATACACTTTATATTCGATACTGAATTTTTATTCGTTTCTCATTGGTCATGAAACCATGCTCACCGTCACGTTATTAGAAAGTCAAAACCGATTCTTCCCTTCCGTTATTTCGCAACGGCAGTCGAACCGAAGCATCCCGCGACACTATCCTGCACCATAGTTTTACGTTGTACGTCCACGGAACGTCGAAATCGTGAAAATGGAAATCTCGACATGCGGGGGTAATTACAATCTGTTTTTTTTTCACTCATGTTTTATATTCACCGGATACGGATTTTTTTTTGTAAAATTATTCCACCTCAGTTATATAATGATTTTTGTTCGTGAAATAATAATAATCAAAACAAAATAGGAAAAACGTCATTTTTTGCCCTAGTTGATTTTTTTGATTCATTTTTTTCTTTCGTGATCTATATTAAAAATATGTGTGTACGTGTTCATTATTACTAGTTTGTACTATCAGGATGATGGTTTTTTTATCATTTTAAAACAACCGTTCAACAGATATTATAATTGCTTATTCTATAAAGGTTACTAATAAATTCTTGAGTTAAGGCAGCTTATCTCCGATTATTTCCGGCGAACAAATGTGTAAAAAAAAAATAATCTAAACAGAGAAGTGTGTGAACTTTTTTGCAATAAATATTAATTAAAATTCACTTTGTTTATAAATTTATTTTAAATATTTAAATTAAATTATAAACTAATAATACGTTTTTTTAAGATAGTAACGTACAACAATAATAAATGTGAATTTATGGTCATAAATTTAATTTTCTAATAAAAGCTTTTTATTTAAATTTATTTTATTATTGATTCCGCAAGCTATATACTTTTTCATAGCCACCGCGATAAACGCATTCCATCGTATTTATAATAAAATAAAAACTATTGATAATTTTTTAATCAGCAATGTATAATAAATATTTTATTGTGAAAGCTACTTGTGAAAAGTTTTTTTTTATTTGTTTTTTATTTTGTTATGTTACAACAAAAATACAATTATAAAATAATATTGAATAACTATTTATTTTGGTCATTTATACTCTATATTTTTATTAATCACTATAAAATACGTAAACAAAGAAAATGTAATTACTATTGTATTGTTTTGAATTCATTACACAACAAAACATCAGTAGTATACTGATTTTTTATTGTTGGATCCATTGCCAAAGAATATTAATTACGATAAATGTTTTCATTTAAATTTTTACACACTTTCAAGTATTGCTAGTATTTCAATCTTAAAATTTGCAACATTGTATTACAAGTAAATGAAACAAGGAAAATATATATTTTTAATAATTGTAAGATATTCGAACTTTTCCTCCTATACACATGATGTATACGCCCATACATTTTTTTCTTTTTTTTTTTTTTTGTAAATCTATTTGTATTATATAATTTATTAAAACGTGTCATCATTTATATATTTCTTTGGTTAATTTTACAAAAATAAAATATTAATATGGGATCAGCAATTTTGAAGGTTGTGCATGTTTTTTAAGTTAAATTCAATTTTAATCGTACTGCATTCTGATTTACTGGTGCTCATTTATTTTTAAGATTTCGTGATTTCACGATTTCACGTACTAATAATCATAAGATTAAATTGTACTCAAAATAATGCATTATGGGTTCTATACTTTTACGATTTAATTACAGTGTACAGAGTAATATTTGATTGTATGCATTTCTAAAGGGAAATGCATTGCATTTCAGGTGCATACTATACATAATACATACATAATGTACATAATATAATATACACACATACACGCATATCTAAAAATACATTTTTCAGTAAAAAAAAACTTTTACCTTGACAAGATTTGACAAAATTATTATACTACGTATGTATACTTAATTATTAGTATTCAGTAATGAATAATCATGTTCTAGACTTGAAATTCAAGAATTTTTATTTTTATTTTTGTGATTTATTCACGCGATAGAATCGAGTGTTGTTTCACTGCGTGGTACAAAAAACTAAAACTATGAGGTTTATAAGTACTATTTAATAATTTTCATCCGTATGCTTTTATTATATAGATATTTACTTATATAGCTACACGTGTTTTCATACAATTCGTAAAATATATTCTATTCGATATGCACATATTATTATGTATATATTTATTACTATGGCACCAGAAAAGTATTCAATGGAAATCATTATATAATCAAATCAAAGCCGGGGTTATGGGTACCGATAACAGCTTTCTATGCTAGACGTTATTACTGACTGGGAAATTAATCGATAAAAATCCGACCTCTAACCGTGTAAAATTTTGATCCCGCACAGTATAATATACGTGCTCGTACACAGTGATTGCAAAGAGATACTGCCGTTTCAACAATTTTTTTCCCTATCACAAACTAGGGTGAATTAATTTTGGATGTTTTTGTTTGAAACTTTTACTAAACCAAAATAATTCGAGCATTGATTATTCACCAACTACATTTAAAAGTATTTCTGCGTTCGATCGCTCTGTATGCACGGGCAAAGAAATAATAATATTGTTTATCTTGAACAAATGAATGCATATTTAGATTGAAATAATCTTAACAAATTTGTCAAAACAATTTTTATACAATCCTGTATCGTTCACGGAAACGACTATTTAACGACACTATTTCATACGAATCGCATTGAATAATAACTTCACGTTATTATTTTTCTTTCTAAAACCATATTCTTACATTTAAATCTTTTGGTTTTTGGTGTCAATATATTTCAGTTATATTATTTATATTTTTCAATACAAATGTACACGCGTTGTCCTTAACCACTATCAAATGCTTCATAGCGGATTTGTACTTCAATAAATCGCGCTACCACTCAGATAATGTTTTGTCATGTACGGAATATTATCATTAGCCGGATGTTTCTGACATGGTTAGTTAGTTTCTGATCGGTTTGTATGTTAATTGTAATTTGTTTAGAATTGATTGTATTTTAATGAAACATTAGATTTAACTATTAAAAATTCGAAAAGTTTGATTTCACTGGTATTTGAAAATTTAATTTTCTAAGTCTATGTGTTATTTTTAAAAATGACCTCTTTTATAACTTTACCATCTAGATGGTTTTTTAGTCGATCATACATTATTCGCAGCACAGTATTATTTGTTTCCAATTCACCAGTGATAACTGTTTAAGTTAAAAAAAATATTTTTTTTAAAATATGAATATCTTTTATTGTTTGGTGTTTAACTTAATCGCCAATCTGAGTTTATCCTATTACGCCAAGCACTTTAAACTTGTAGTCGTTCACTCGCTTAATTTACGGTTACATAATGTTTAGTGTCTTAGGTCATTGTTTAAGTTAATGTATTTAAAAATAAGGAAATTTTACCTAAATATATTTTATTTGAACGTATTTAAACAATCTTGTTGAAAATTAAAAGCTGAAAATTTGTATTATAATTTATGCAAAAACTTTTTTCGTTTTCGAGCACACAAAATAATACCATGTTTTATTTTTACTATGCTTTTGTGACATATTCTAAAAACAAATTCTGTAAAAAATTAATAATTTACTATGCATATACTAAATTTTAAACTCTTTTAAATTTAGTAGTAACCTAGATTAATATGTATTTGTTGTCTTATATTTACTACAATACTACTGTGTAAAAGAATGGTTGAAATTAAAACATCTCTCAGAATTTTTTTTTTTTTAGGGGGGGAGGGAGAAATGTTCAATGTTACAACATCGCTATTTTCGCGTATACTCAAAACACTAATTAAAATACAATATTCTATTATAATTGTAGATTATTGTAATGCTTGTTTATCTAAATTCAACAGCAGATAAAATGTAATATTAAATATTGCAATCAACGTTAAAAGTAATTTTCAATATATTTAAAATAAGTTATACACAGTGGCGTACTAACGGGGGGGGATAAACCCCCCTGAAATTTTTAGGATGAATTAACTTTTTATGAGAAAACTAAAATATCTGGTACCTGTAATATCATATTGCATTTAGATATTACAAATTCTCCACCATAATAAAATAAACAGCATAAATTTTAAAATACCTTTGTACTATACTATTATACTATACCTTTAAACTATCAATTATTCAGAACTTTATACCAAAGAAACTAATAAAATTATCCGAAAATGAAATCGAGACAAGTACGCAATTGATGTAAAAACAGTGGCCATTCATGATAAGCTCATGTGACAATATTGTTAACAAAGAAGTTTTATTGTGGAAACAAAGATGGATAGCCGGAGAAAATAATCTTTCTTGCACTTTTATAGATGCAATTAGTTGTTGTGATGTGTTACTGTTCCCTAAAGTATACCAATATTTAAAAATTGGCGCTACGTTGCCCGTCATAGTTGCCAGCGTAGAACGGAGCTTTTCAACGTTGAAACGTATTTATAATTTATTAAAATGTACGATATGTTTTTTTATGTTCAGGTGTCATGCCATCCAATATTTTAATTTAAAAATTAAACCCCCCCCCCCAAGTTCAGGTCTAAGTACGCCACTGATTATAAATTTTGTTCATTCATTCTAAACGACAACAATCACTCCACCACTTTACATTAATTTTTTCCGTTTTTTTAAAACGCGCTTATACCTATAATAATATGTATTTAATAAAATTTTTCTGAAATTGCAAACAATCATTTCAACAGTGACGACTTCTTTTACATAGTTTTTTAAAAAATGTCTTGATGTATAAGCTGATTATAAAAAATAAAAGTATTCTTTCTTACACTTAGTGCCATACTATTGATCGTCAGTTAAGACAATTTACACTCAATTAAAAATTGAACTTCACTTAAATTAAAAATATGGTTTTATTATTAATTAGTTAAATTTTAACGGGACATATTAAGTTAACCGAGATGTTTAAATCAGTTAAAGTGTTTAAACTTAGTTAAATTCATATTATCATAGATAATACCATATTCTTATTAAAAACTAAACAACGTTACGATTGAACTTCTTCATTTCGAAAATGGATAACTGTCCTACCGCTTCCAAAGGGGTAAATGGTCTTTATCTTTTCACATCTCGCAACTTAACTTTTATCGACTTTTTATCATTTTCATATTTTTGTTTCAAACATTTTTACTGCGATAACCATCAAGACTTTTGCTGTTGTATGTCATAGATAAATGTTCTCAAGCCTTATTTTTCATATTTGCTGTTACATTTTTTTTATTTCAATAATTTTTTTTCTGGGAAACCACTAGGCCAATAAATAGTTCCAGTTCATTCTGAATAAAATTTGTTGAGAATTTTCTCCCAATTCTTAGACTCGTTATAAAATTAAAATATGTGACGATAATAATACAAAACAACTAGAACAACAAAAGCACAGATTTACATATTATCTTGCTCAATATACTGTGTATAAGTAATAAATAAATAACTATAATATGGATAAAAAAAATACTGGGATAAAAATGATAATAGATAACAATTTACTAATATGAGGGTAACAACATGTTTATATTAGTACCGTAGCTTACTTCAATTGATAGTAAATCTTCAATTTATAAAATTCTGTTGATTTAAAACCGAGATTAGTTAATCTACTATTTAACTGATGATTGATAAAATAACTCTTAATGTGTTAGTGTGAAATTTAGTGCTCAAAATCGACGTAATGTTACCTAACCTGTTTATTAATCTTTGTTACAAATGTAAGGTAATTTTTTTAATTAGGTATTTAAAAAAAAGATCTGTTATTGTAATTTTTTGCATTTTATTTATCTTTGTTCATAAATACACACATTTTTAAACGGTTTCGTAAGTTATTTTTAAAGTTATATTCAACTGGTAAAGACATTTTTTTTTTAATTTTCTATTGGCATTATTCAGTATACAATTGGGTTAATTATGGGATTCATGGGCTGTTTTGAAACAATGTGTGTGTGTATAGAAATTTATTCGGCCAATTAACAAGTAGGTTCATGATGGGTTGTCCAAAATGTCCCGAGTCAGCTTATGACGTCGACACCACGCGTTGGGAGAAAATCGCAAACCGAATCCCCGCTTCCATCAACCGATAGAAATCACCATTAGTGTCCGGAGGAAACTCCATCGTTGTGGCTTGCACCGAAATTGTAATATAATAATTATAATAATAATAATAACAATAATAATAAATCCATTGTTCCGCGGACTCAATTCGGTTATCATTGAGATAATATCGCGAAAACAAGTGCGAAATCCGTGTGCTTACCGCTGTTGCGTTACGGCATACGCTGGCTACCCAGGCTGATAAAACAATAACCGTCTTCGGCTTCCATACGGCTCATGACTTGAATATTTAAAGTTTTTTGTTTCCCTCTCAACCTATACGAGCATGCAAGTGCCTGTGTTAAGTACAGATTACATATATATGTATATATATATGTATTTATAATATTATTTGTGCGTTAAAAAAAAAAAAATTGTAGATTATATTATATATTATATATGTAATATTCATCTGTTCTTGCACACCGCAACTAGCTGCCACCACCCCGTGGTCCCATCGTCGTCGTCGTTGTTGTTGTTGTTGTTGTTGTTGTTAGTAAACAATTATTATGTAAAACGATTTTTCGTGTTCGTGTATAGGATATGCCCATCTCGGAGGACCAAGTAGCCGAGCTGTTCGGTGAAGGCGCCCGCATACACAGCGTGCATCACCGGTCCAGGCCGGAGCAATCCGTGTTCGCGTCGTCCATGTCGTCGAGCGCCTCGGTGGACACCACTGTTGGCTCGACCGCTGCGCTCATACACAGCCACGCGGCCAAGGTGAAGAAGAAGAAGTACGCGTTCCTTAGGCAAGGCAACGGCAATCACCAGCAGGTGGCCAGCAACGGGTACATCACCGGCCGACATTGCCGGGGAGACTCGGGCGTGCTGTTCGGCCAGAAGGAGCGCAACATTCGGCTATCTGCGCCCACTGTGCCCAACCTCTTCGACCAAATGATCAAGAAGAAGCAGGCGCTCGACCAAGTGTCGGCGAAGCGGCTGAGCAGCGACGATGACGACGACGACGACGACGACGACGATGACGACGAGCACGACGAAGACGACGACCCGCGTCGCAAGACGGCCGTCAAGATCCGCACGCCGCAGAACACATATGTACCACAGGTTAGTAGACGCATGTCCTATATTACGATAATTTAAGGTTTTGAGCGTACGAATGCTGCGTATGTTATCCGCAGTCGGGGACAGTGGTTCCCACGGACCCCGGAGCTAAGACTCCAGTTGGACCTTGGAACCCCTGTTTCGCACGAGCTTGCAAACAATTTTTTTGGTTTTACACGTTTCAGGTGCGTAACTAGGGAGAAGAAAAGGGGATTTATAAAATTGTAAAACTGTTTAAGATGCAATTTTTAGTGAATAAACTATTATTGACTATTTTTTAACTATGTTACTGTTGATGTGTTTGAAACTGAAAGAGTATGATTGTATGCAGATCATCAGAAAAACATTTTCATTTTCCTCGGGCGTGAAAATTCCTTGTTCTGCCTCTGCACGTGTTATTGTCGTAAAATTTATACTTGTTTTTATAACCAATACAATGTAGAGATTTATTTTCATTGAACTCTTTAAAGTACATATTTTTCTTACGCGTAACGTTATTAGTATTGTAATTTGATTAGTAATTGCATTGATTTTTAAGCTTTATGAGACAAATGACATATTTATCTTATGAAACTCTTTCAAATACCCGCAGAACACTGTAAGATCATGGCTCCCTATTGGGAATCACTGAGTTAAGGAATAGGTTAGCAATTTTGAAAAAACCAATTAAACTTGACCTATGATCACAGTAGTTGGCTATAGTTAGCTGCAATGTAAAAAATAAATCGCATACTATATTATACCGTACATAGTATTTGCTACCCGATTGGATAAGATTAATAGTGTGCAACGAGGTCCGTTGGCCAACACCCATGTCGGATGCTTATCGGGTTCACTGCTAATTTCATCGTGCATATATTGTACGTATCTCAGTGATTTTCAATTCTCGGGGGTCGTCTGAATTAATGTATTTTTCTACTCTCGTTGCTTTTGATCGCGGTATGTTAGATATAAGATATTTTTCTTATTAGAACATACAACGTAAACAAAATATTTATAAACGAAATTTTTATATACAACGTACATAAAAAAACACTTGATGTAATATTAACACGTATTCTTTACACCTGGTAAAACAAATAAATCGTATTTTCGTGAGAGAAAAAAAACAGGATTCTACGTATCATCGTTTGACGTTTCAACGTCTTTTCTCCTTACACCCTTTAACACAACCATCACCCACCCTGTGTAATATAACTATAAACTTTGATTTCTGCTCCTTATTTTTTTTCACTTAGTATGACCCAAACAATACTTTTGTACTTACGGATGTCCTAATATGTATGTGTACGACCTCGTTTCGACTATCAATTAATTCGAATTTGATGTATAATCGATATGACGGTTTTGAAGGAATCATGTCAGTCAACAAACGCGCGTAAACCTCTCTACAGTACTAATATCATTAAAATAATATAATATCTACTCGACTGACCGTTTTTGTATCCTACTTCTACGACATCCGTCATATTGGTGTTTCGCGTGAAGCTTTTCAATCCATATGACTCAACAATTCAATAGGACCATGTCGTTGAAGACATGGCCCTCCATGTACGGCGATTATGAGTTTAATGACGATGATGACGAGGATCAGAACTCGAAAGCTAATTGGGAGCAGGTAAAAAAGAAGTAGAAAAAATAGTTGGACGTTGAAGAGGTTGTTTGCGCAACATATACACGAGTCCTACATCACATACTCATATACATACACACACACACACATTGTGTGTAGTTTAATAATAATTACTCTATACGCTGGTCATGGTTCATTATAAGTTGCTGGTCGTCGTGTTCACGGACGGTTTCAAGGTCGGGCCGATATTAATTTGTCTAGATATCTGTTCCAAGGGTTTCGACCCTTTTCGGTGGATATTTAATTGTAATTCATTAGACGTAAATTATCTGTTCATTCCCATTATTTTCCCATCCTCCTTCGCATAAAACAAAACATTCATGACATAATATTATTCATAATAATACTCCGAGAGTAGTATTGCTATACGACCTAAAATGGGATATTCTCACACTGCTGTGTGAGAAATAAACTATATATATATTTGTGAGTGTGTGTGTGTATGAGTGAGTAGTTGAACGATTTCTTTTTTCAAAGTTTCGTTTCGCTCAATTCTGCGTAAAAACGTGTTAATATACCGCATCCGTTTATTGGTCGTTCTGAAAAAAATGTTTTTTTTCCTTTTTTTTTTCTTGTACTGCAAAAAATAATTTATGGATGAAATTACAAACACAGTGGTTTTAACAAAACGTTGATTAGATCTAATTCCGACATAAGTTGATTGTTGACTATGTTTACATTTCTATGTAGAATTTACCAAGTTTTTTTCTCCAAAAAAAAAGAATTTATAATTGAAAACCGTTTTCTTCTGAACAATCGATGTTTTTATTTTACTTTAAAATATAATTATTGCCATTAACTCGATGATAAACTCAATTATATTAAACTTTATTATCAAATCAATGATTAAACTTTGTTCGAATAATTTCTTTTATATAAAATTAGTGTTTTTTTTTCAAACCGTTTTCCTTTGTAACAATTAAATTAAATAATAAATGCGTATTAAAATCTAGTTACGTTTTCCATTATGAATACTAAAATATGATTTATTTATCTAATTAATCTTTTCATGCTGATTGTATGAGCATATAACAAAGTCTGAATAAAAAAAATATAATTATTTTTCATAAAATGTTGTTTAACAAGGCGCAGCTTAATAAATTATTCACAATGATGCTATTATTCGATAATATCGCATTTTTTTTTCAAAATTAACTGTATATAGTGAATCAATACATGCCCTTCTTATTTAAATTTTTTTTTCAGTGATTATTATCTCTTAATGTATGTACAAAAATATTTATGTTAATGTTTTACTCTATGTTCTTATAGATTTTCGTTGATTTAAAAAAAAAAAAAAACTTGAAATTAATCGATAATTAACTTTATGGTTGACTACAATGTAAAAAACAATGCAAAAAAATGTTGATTAAGTATTCAAATGATTATTAACTTGCATTATGAACATTCTAACAAATCGTACAGTGTTTTTTCAGCGATATATAAATATGATGTAATATACAAATCGAATGGAATCAAACCAAATTATTATTAAATATTATTTTTCTGTGATAATCTGTTGTGCACCTATTAGTATAATTTCGATTCTGAATTTAATAAAGACTTCTAAGAACTCAACAATTAAATTTAATCATTAAATTACAATCCTCAGTCTATAAGAGTTCTTTATATGGTGTTTTTTTTTTTTTAATTATATAATTGATTCAAACGGGTTCACCATTCAAGTAATACCAAATTAACCTGATAAATCCACTATCATACATAATATATCCATGCTTACGCAAATAAATATTCATATTAGATCGTTCAACATTTGCGCGTGTTCATGGGTATTTCTTCGTATTATTTATATCAACATTGGACGTGGTCATGTTGTTACTTTATTTAATTGTTCGCGAGACGCAACACAAACGTACGCGTCTAACGATTTGCTTGCCTAATCGTCGGGCGCAAAGATGGTGGCCAATGGTATTATAATATTACTGGTGCGTATTGAAACGTCGAGAGCCGCGGAATTAACGATCAACGGCCTTGGAATACACTTGATACACATTAATCGGTTGCGAGAACGGGAATTATTGAGAATATTACGCGTTTATGTCTCGAAGAGTACCGTATGTACAGCAGTAGCCACGGGGCGATGGTAATGTGTAAATTTGTCCGCGCGTACAGCAAGGTTGACGAGAGGAAGGGGAGGGATGTGTACGTGATACGAATGTATAAAACTAATTCGAAAATTAATAAAATGATTTTCAAAAAAAAAAAATAAATAAATAAGTGAATAAAAAACAATAACACGCGTTTGCATAAAAAAATTCGTGCCAAAGAGCGACCGGCGGAGGTATAAATTGGCCGGCGGACATTATTACGCGAACAAATGTTATGCCGTGTACAATACAATGTAATGTCGTGTTAGTCGAAGCGGTGATCGTACTACATGCACACATCGTACAGTTGTCAGCTAGCCAGTGGTTCCGACCTTGATCTTACAATTGATCCTTTGGGGAAAGGTGATTTAAAATATTAGACTATTTTTTTCGTTTTTCATTCTACAAAGTAAATAATATGTTATTTTGAAAATTCTATAATCTACTAATTCACATACGCGATTTTAATCAACGTTTTCGAAAAACACCAATTTATGTAATGAAATTGTTTTTTTCTTATACGTACTGCTAAAAACAATAAACAAAAACAGCAATTAAACTCCCAACAAATAAATTAATTTAAAGATATTCGATTGAATTGTTTTATTATGTCTATCCTGTTTTTGCATTCCTAACCGTAATACGGAATTAGTTTATAACTATAATATGTATTATAATTGTTACGTATATGCGTTGTATAATAAGTATCGTAATTCGATAGTTAATAGAAAAATACAATATTGTTTTGGCTCTCTGGTGTGCTATAGAAATATTTGCAGGTTTTCGGTAGATATACCTATAGTTCAAGAATTACACAATTCCAACGCTTAACATATCTGTCTGTAAGATTATCGTCGAGATTAATGATAATAATTTATGTGGATTCATGCTGTTTATCACGATATCCATTAGATTCGTAATTTAGAATTGAATATTTTACAATTTTATACATACCGTTTCATATTATTTTCTACAATTTCGCATTACGTGACGGTATGAAAAATGTATATTGAAAAACTGTTGCAATATTAATGTAATAATCATGAGTTAACTTGGAAGACTAAAAATATCATTGCCGACACGCAGCTCCGTCCAGGAAGAATATTAACAAATTATACAAAAATCGCTAGACTTCGATTCAGCGGCAAATTAAGTGTGGTCCAGTGAATAATTTATTAAATGTTCTGCAAAACATTCGATGGCTTAGATTAATTTTCTCCGTTTTTGATTTTTGACCGATATAATTCGATATTTTTCATTTC